TTGAGTCTATGATTCCATCCTTGAATATTTTAAAGAGTACAACAAAACAAAACCCACTTGCTGTTGAGTCTATTCTCACTCATGATGACCCCCTTGAGAGCTTACAAGGCTGTAAACCTTTGCAGGGGTGGACTCATCATCTTTCTCCCATGGAGCACCTAGCACAGTCACCCACCAGGTAACACACCACCCACCAGGATTCTGTAAAGCATAAGAGATGGGGGAAAAAACCTTTTAAGATTGTTAAACAGCTTTAGATTGCTTGGCTCCACAATCAACACTCTTGGTACCAGGAGCTAGGAAATGAAAAGATGAATTGCATTGGGAAAGTCTGCTGTCAGAGACCTCTCCAGTCTGCAAACTAAGGTGTGCCTGATCCAGGCCATAGCCTTTGCAATTACTTGCTATCCATCAGAGAAGTGGACAATGACTCAGGATGATAGAAGAATCGATGCCTTTTATATATATATATTTTTTTTTTAAATTATTTTATTATTTTGTGTGTGTGTGTACCGTCAAATCGGATCTGACTGGTACAGGAGGAGATTGTCCCTCCTTTCCTGGCAGAGCATCTGGTGGATTTGAACCGTGCACTCCTGGGATTGCAGTGAGAATCGATGCCTTAGAGCTGTGGCTCTGGAGAAGAGTATTGAATATACCATGGACTGCTAGGAGAACAAACAGGTTTGACCTACAGAGGGTGAAACCAGGCTGCTCCTTGGAGGCAAGGATTCTGAGGCTTAGTCTGACATACTTCGGACATGTTGCAAGGAGGAGCCAGTCCTTGGAGAGGGACATCATGCTTGAGAGAGTGGAGAGACAGCACAAGAGAGGAAGGTCCTTGATGAGATGGATTGATGCAGTGTCTGGGGTAATAGGATTAGGTGTGTCAGAGACAGTGAGATTGGCACAGGACAGAGCAGGGTATAGGTCTGTTGTGCATAGGGTTGCTAAGAGTAGCAGGCAACTGTATGGCACATAATAATATACTGCCTTGAGATATATAAAGGAACTAGCCTAGCCCGTAGGAACTAACCCTGCTAACCTAACCCTGTACCTCTAACTATTCAACTCCATGAGCAGCTCTGCTGGAGAAAGATGGGCAGTCTCTTCCCTTGCTGTTTACAACCTCAGAAATGGACAGAGAGCCCTGCGTCAGTCTTGACTCAAAAGCAATGGGTTTAAGAGGATAATTAGAAATAGTATGATGGAGACAAAACCTCTGGTAAAATTTTTATAACAAAATTTATTCAGTTGTCTGTAA